TCAATGGATGACAGATGAAATTTTGGATATTTCTGGCAGTCTGCAACCCCCCATAATCCACTAGTATCCTGTTAGTGAAATGCTCAGACATGAATTGTGTTATGCATATGGAGTGTTTTATTGGATGTTACTGAATGGCCATATTCAGCTGACAGGGACAGAAACAGTGATTCGCAGGCAAGGTCTATGCAACCTGCTCATTCCATAGCAGAGCATTGCAGTTAGTGCAGCATTATGTCAGCCATGTGCATTTCAGTGAATCATATGTGTTGCACTACGGTGATACTCAGTGTAGGGAGTGCATGATGTAAATGGAATGTAACTCCACTGGTGGATATTTCTGATAGACAACAATATTGTAGGATTGCAGCTGGTAAATCCTCTACCTATTCATTTTCTCCACACAGTGGCCTAAATCCTATTATTAATTATAACTATAATAGACTTCAATAGAATTTACCCACATGTTGCCTCAGTTGTCAACTCAACAATTGATTGGATGAGTCTACTCTAGTTGGGACTATCCTATCTATTGCACATGTGAAGGAGAAAAGCAAAGGGATTTTCTTCCCCTGCCCAACAGGTAGCAGTCTGATTGGGGTTTATTATTGAGGCACAGCCCTGTTAAAGGGTCCAACCAGATGGACCAGGTGCTAGAAACCGGAAATTTTGACATTACCATGAGTAAATTACAGCCAGCATGGTGTAATACTTTGAGCATTGGACTTCAGGTCTGGAGACCAAGGTTCGAATCCCTGCTCGGTTACAGAAACCCAGTTGGTGACCAACCCTTTCAGCCTCAGAAAAAGCAAAGGCAACCTCACTTGCCTAGGAAACAATTTAGTCAGAAACACTTTAGTCAGCCAAAAGTAAGATACAACTTAAAGACACAGAACAAACAACTTGTGTAAATATTAGCATGGCTTTCGTGAAAATCTAACTGAAAGTAAAGGTGAGTAGGCACAAAAGTTGCAGAATAATTGGTTTTAAGAGTCCATCCATGCAAGACCATCCTGTGCTATGGATTATAGTCAGTTGACTTTTGAGATTCATGAGGTTAAATGCACATGTGTTTAATTCTCGAAAATTGAGTCTTCTGTAGCTATAATGATCTAGTGAGTATTGCATAGTCTAGCAGGGTGCAGGGGTGTGGAACCAATTTCAGAAATATCCTGGACAGAATGAACCATCATATAGTGTAGGTAGAAAAATGATAAAGAGAGCATGTGGGAAGGACAGCAGGGAGGGGAGGCTGACAAATCTAGAGGATAGGAGAGACACACAGAGCTTTCTTTTCTTTCATGTAAAGCAAATTATTCCCTAAAGTGCTTGAAATGCAGATGTTGTCATAGGCATAGTTTATCCACAAAGCATCTGGACTTCTGCTTGCCAGATAGAGTTC